TGGTCGTAGTCGACCGGAGTGTGAGCTTGTGCATGAATAAGTAGTGTTTCGTTTTTGAGAACACAGGAGTGTTGTGTGTTTGCCAGTATTCAAGCTTGTTCTTTTCAACGAATATCGCCGATTTTGGATAAGGATATTCATCAAAAGTGAATCACTGCAGAGGTAAGTGATTCCTCTCTTGTTAATTAATTCTGTACATTCTGTGCTTGTTTCTGTTATAAATAACAATGTTATTTAAGGGTGCTAAAAAAGAAGATTTAAGGCTTATTGCCTTAGAAATAAATCTAAATGTTGACGAAAAAATGACTATAGCAGATTTGACTGATATTATTGAGAATAGTGACATTTTCAAAACTAAACAAGATTTAGTAAAAGAGATAGCAAACTCTATTATTGAAAATAGAAAACAGGAAGAGCAAAAACTTGTCGAGTTAGAAAAAATAGAACTTGAGAGATCAAAGAATGAGTTAGAGTTGGCTAAGTTTAAAGCAGAAACTAAACTTGGTGGTGTAAGCGAAACCGAAACAAAATCAGAGTCACTCAAACCGAAACAAATCAGAGTCACATCAATTAATAAAATGTATCAGAACCCTAACTGTAAAAATTCCTATACGGCCTGAGAGTTGGGGATTTTTCTTTTCGTCATTAGAACGAGCGTTTATTACAAAAAATGTTTCGGAGGACTATAAAGCAGAAATTCTGTTAAATCTGTTAGGAGACAAAGCTTCGAATATAATAACCTATTTACATGATAAGGATATCGCGAATTATGAAAAAGTAAAAGAAGTAGTTCTGAAGGAGTTTCAGCCAACACCATATTCGTGTTTAGAAAACTTTAGAAAAACTGTTAAACAACCACATGAAACTCATGTGCAGTTTGCGTTCACGCTTAGTAACTGCTTGGGATTATTATTTAAAATTAAGGAAGGTAACTGACTTCGAGACCCTCAAACAACTAATAGTTTCAGATAGGTTTATACCAATCTTTAGATACGGGAACAGCTTCTCACATTGCAGTGAGGCAAGGTGATTCATGGTTTTCACCTAGTGAGTTAGGTAAAGAAATAGATTTATATTTCACGTCACCAGAGGAAAACCTCTTACTGAGAATTCTCATGTTAATCGTAAGTATAATAGCTCAAAAAGTGTAGCTAAAGTGTTTTTATCAGATGTTAAAACAGAGAACTGTGTTTTATGCCACGAGAATCACGGATTGGCAAAATGCCCATCGTATTTAAAATTACCGGTACAAGAAAGAGTACAGTTTGTGAAATCTAATAAATTATGTTTTAACTGTCTACATATGCATTCAGTATCAAATTGCCCATCGAAATATTCTTTTTTTTTTTTTTTTTTTTTTTTTTTGTCAAAAACGGCACCACAAAACTATTCACTTTCCGAAAGCAAATAATATCGTAAAGGAAAAAGAATTTTCTTCATCGGAACAAAATAAAAACAAAACAAATGTATCTGACTGCAACGTTCCCAAACGAGATGACTCATCGACCTTGAATGTTAATGCGCAGGAGTTCGTTCAAAAGGCATTTATTAGCAATTATTCAAATAAACAGAGTACAGTTTTGCTTTCAACCATCGTATGTTTTCTAATTGATAACAAGGGAAGAAAACACAGAGTGAAGTGTCTGCTGGACAGCGGCAGTATGTCAAACTTTCTGACACCTAATTTTATTGAGCCTTTGCAGTTAGAGAAAGAAAAAAAACAAACATTTCCGGTTTCGGGAATAAATGATGCTACTTTGACAATAAAGCATAAAATTAATGCTTCGATATGCAATAAAGAAGGAACTTTTATAAAGAATTTGGACTTTTTAGTAATTCCAAAAATAACTGCTGATTTAATTAACACCTTCGCGCAAAATTAAAATTTCAGTGCAAGATCTTCCTAATTTAAAATTAGCAGATGAAGGATTTAATGTTCCAGAAAGGGTAGATATGTTGTTGGGAGCGGGAGTTTTTTATGAACTTTTGAAACCGAGTCAAATTCGAATGAATAATCCTGATCTTATTTTTCAAGATACAGTTTTTGGTTTTATCGTGTCTGGAAGTATTCCAACAGAGACTGAAAACAGGGTTTTCATTGTGGGTTGATAAAGGAAGAAGACAACTTAGATAAAACTCTTAGAAAATTTTGGGAATTAGAAAATATTGAAACTGATAAACCCAAAAACAAAGAATTTTTAATTTGTGAGAAACATTTCGTAGAAAATTATACACGAGATAAAACCGGTAGGTACGTTGTTAAAATGCCATTAAAGGAGGATCCGGACATTTTAGGAAGTTCTAAACAAATTGCAACGAGTAAATTAAATTCCTTATGGAAACGCTTAGTAAAGAATCCCGAATATTTAAAATTATATTCAGATTTTTTAAAAGAATATCAACAATTAAGACACAATAACACGCCGAATAAATACTAATTCAGAAGTCAAACAACAAAAATCAGCGTTAATTTACAAAATTTTCACAGGACTAGTTTCGATGGTTTTACCGAACCATCATCTTCAGCTGCAAAACCGCAAATGAACAAGATAGGAAATAATGTTTAGATAAGATAAGAAAGCCTGGACAAGAATAAGCAAGTGGCGCCATCTGTTGGCGAAACCAGAACTAAAACATAATTTCTCTAAAAGCCGAAGGCAAATTTGGATTGGAATTAGGATCGTTAACTAGAACAGAAAGATTTTTATGAATGTGAAATGCCTCTAGAAAATCCAGTTCTCCAATGGAAGATGTTTTTTGAATAATTTTTTGCAGCAGAAAAATTTGAAAGTGTGATTTTCGGACCAACAATGTTGAGCAACAGAAGACTTCTGTGTTTCCTTTTTTCTAACATATGCCTCATGTTCTTTGACGCGAAATTTTAAGGCTCTCTTAGTTTGGCCAATGTAAATTAAACCGCACTGGCAAGGAATCCTATAAATACCCCTGCATGCATTATTATGAATCAAATGCATTATTATGAATCAAAATTGTTTGAAACTTTAAACTTCCCGGCATGGTTCCCCTACGTAGACGATACTTTTACCCTGTTTGAAGGTAATAAAGATGATTTAAATAGAGTTCTTTCAACAATGAATTCTATTGATCCTGCTATTCAGTTCACTTTTGAACTTGAGACTTGCAATTCTCTTCCGTTTCTCGACATTCTGGTCACACGTAACACATCCAACTTCAGTACTACAGTTTACCGTAAACCTTCATCGGTTTGCCTTCCACCACACTTTAAATCATGTCATCCGACTAAACAAAAGTTAGCTTCATTTTATTCCTATGTTTTTCCGTGCTCTTCAAGTTTGCTCCTCCAAACTAGCCCTTGATGAAGAACTAAATTATTTAAAAGCAATAGCTATTGACAGGGGCTTTCACTCAACATTATTAATCAAGCAGTTAAAAAATTCTCATCTCAACACACTAAAAGCCACACTCTTATTTTTAGGAGATTTATAAAAATTCTGTTGTCATTCCCTTCTTTCCATCAATTAGCTATAAAGTTGCACATATTTTGCAGAAATTTAACTTTCGGGTTGTTTACTCTCCCATCAATAAAATTCCAACTTCTATACTCAAGGACCCCATTCCGGATATGAATTCCTGGGGTATTTATAGGATTCCTTGCCAGTGCGGTTTAATTTACATTGGCCAAACTAAGAAAGCCTTAAAATTTCGCGTCAAAGAACATGAGGCATACGTTAGAAAAAAGGAAACACAGAAGTCTTCTGTTGCTCAACATTGTTGGTCCGAAAATCACACTTTCAATTTTTCTGCTGCCAAAATTATTCAAAAAACATCTTCCATTGGAGAACTGGATTTTCTAGAGGCATTTCACATTCATAAAAATCTTTGTTCTAGTTAACGATACTAATTCCAATCCAAATTTGCCTTCGGCTTTTAGAGAAATTATGTTTTAGTTCTGGTTTCGCCAACAGATGGCGCCACTTGCTTATTCTTGTCCAGGCTTTCTTATCTTATCTAAACATTATTTCCTATCTTGTTCATTTGCGGTTTTGCAGCTGAAGATGATGGTTCGGTAAAACCATCGAAACTAGTCCTGTGAAAATTTTGTAAATTAACGCTGATTTTTGTTGTTTGACTTCTGAATTAGAATATCAACAGTTAGGACATATGGTCGAGGTAAGTGAAAGCGAGGAGGAACGAGGTTCATATTACATTCCTCATATTGGAGTATATAGGGGAGAAGAGAAAAGTAAGTCGACTTCCTTGAGAGTAGTATTTAACGCTTCTTCTTTGACAACCAAAGGAAACTCTCTAAATTCTATACAGTATAATGGAGGTGTGATACAAGATGATTTATTCTTAATTATGCTGAGATTCAGGAAATATATTTTTGCTTTCACTGCTGATATACAAAAGATGTATCGAGCTATTTCTATCCATCCAGATCAGTGGAAGTTGCAAAGGATTTTATGGAAAGAAGGCATTGATAAGCCAGTTAAAAACTTTGAGCTAACTACTGTAACCTATGGAACTGTGAGTGCACCATTTTTAGCAATGAGAACACTTGTACAGCTGTCAAAGGATGAAGGAGATAAATTTCCTTTAGCAGCACCTGTACTGAGAGAAGACATGTACATGGACGATATTCTATCTGGAGCTGAGTCGCTAAGTTCTGCGTTAGAACTTCAAAATCAGTTAATAGGCATTTTGAAGAGTGGAGGTATGTTACTCCATAAGTGGTGTAGTAATGCTACTGAACTGTGTCAAACAAACGACAAAACATATCACTTTGGTAAATCAGAAGAATCTAAAGCATTAGGGTATTTTATGGAAGTCAAAAAAAAAAAAAAAAAAGATTGTTTGAGCTTCAACGTTAAAATCGAAGACAACGTAAAGGTTACGAAAACGGCAAGTGTTATCCGTCATATCTCGCATCTTTGACCCATTGGGTATAGTTTCCCCAGTTATAATTATAGCAAAAATATTTATGCAGAAATTATGGCTGTTAAAATTGAACTGGAATGATGTTTTGCCAGAAAAGGAGGCTAAAGAATGAATGGAAAGAATTCTCCACTACCTTGCAGCTAATTAACAACATTGAAGTCCATAGATGTATTTTGTTACCGGATAGAATCAAGATTGAATTACATGGTTTCTGTGATGCCTCAGAGGCCGCCTATGGAGCAGTTATCTACTGTAAAGCAACATCAGCAACAAACCATACATCAGTGAGGTTGGTATGCAGTAAATCGCGTGTCTCACCCCTAAAGAAGACTACAATCCCAAGACTTGAGCTTTGCGAAGCAGTGCTATTAGCTAAACTGATGTATCGAGTGAAATCATCATTAAAATTGGAGCTTACTACTATCCACCTTTGGACAGATTCTATGATTGTGCTGTCATGGATCAACAAAGAGCCACACCTGCTCAAGACATTTGTCGCAAACCGGATTTCAAAGATACAGGATCTGACTGAAATAGCACAGTGGCATCATATCGCTTCTGAAGAAAACCCATCAGATCTCATATCTAGAGGTATGTCTGCCAAAAACCTGCAACTAAGTCAACTGTGGTGGAACGGGGCCTGACTTCTTAATGAAGGATGAGTACCCTATAAGAGTTATACCTGAAGCAATTACTGAAAAGGACAGTAATGAACTTAAAAACTTTGCTGATTCTGAACTATCTACATGTTTAAATCTGAATGTGAAAAAATTTTGTTATGATGATTTATTGAATTGCAGTAATAAGTATTTAAAATTAATTCGTATTATAAGTTTTTGTTTTAGGTTTTACAAGAATTGTAAGCAAGAACAAAAGCAGGTAGGTAATTTACAAGTGGGAGAATTGAGAGCAGCTGAAGAAACTTTAATAAAATTAGTACAGGGTGAGTATTTTATGAATGAGATAAATGATCTTAAAAAATCAGGTATTGTTCCAAGAAATAGTTCTATAAAAAAGTCTTAATTAACCCTTTCATTGACAGTAATGGACTGTTGAGAGTTGGAGGTAGATTAAAAAATAGCAATTTAACTTATGAGAAAAAATTTCCTATTATTCTGCCTTCTAAACATAAATTAACAGAGTTAATAGTTAATTACTATCATTTAAAATATTTGCATGTGGGTCCTCAATCTTTGTTATATCATATAAGACAAAAATTTTGGATTGTAAGTGGTAGAAATGTTTTTGTAGAAAAATTGTAAAAAATTGCATAATATGTTTTAAAGCCAATCCCATTGTAGCTCAGCAAATCATGGGTGATTTACCCAAGGAAAGAATCACAACTAATCTTACATTCAATTGTACTGGAGTTGACCTCTGTGGCCCATTCTTAATTAAGTACAAAAACCAGAGAAAAGGTATATATCAGAAAGTTTATGTGTGTATATTCATTTGTATGGTTACTAAGGCCATTCATTTAGAGCTACTAACAGATCTAACATCTGAAGCATTAATAGCTACCTTGAAACGTTTCTTTGCACGAAGAGGTAAAAGTTTAACACTATTTAGTGATAACGCTACGAATTTTGTAGGTGAAAATGCAGAATTAAAGAGGTTAAACAAACTAGTGAACGAACAAGATGAGCTTTTTTTAGCTGGTTATCTGAGTTCTGAGAATATCGAATGGAAATTTCTCCCTCCCAGAGCACCCAATTTTGGAGGCCTTTGGGAGGCTGGAGTTAAATCTTTTAAGTACCACTTCAAACGTGTCGTAGGTAATGCAAAATTGACATTTGAACAATTTTTAACAATTATGATTCAGATTGAAGGAATTTTAAATTCCCGACCATTGACATCCTTGTCTTCGGACATTGATGATTTAGATGTTCTAACACCTGGGCATTTTTTAATTGGTAGAGCAATTAATTCGATCCCTGAGCCAGATATTACGGAAGTTAACATTAACATGTTAAAATTGTGGCAACAGATCACAAGATTAGTACAAATTATCTGGAAAAAATGGAACTCCAATTATTTAAGTCATTTACAAAATCGATCTAAATGGCAAAGTTCTAAAAACAATATACAAGTTTGGAGACATGGTCTTAATTAAAGATAATTTGCCTTGTTGTAATTGGGCGGTTGGTCGTATAATAGAAGTATTTTATGGTAAAGATGGAAAGGTTCGCGTGTTTTGTAATGTAAAAACTCAAACTGGAACTTTCAAACGACCAATTACCAAATTATGTGTCTTACCAATTCAAAAATGAGTATTGTCTTTATAGTTATTGTACAGTATTGAATGTGCTTCACATAAAATGTCATTATGTAACTGAAATGTTATATTGTATTGCTTTGGAGTTTGTACGCTAATGTATATGGTAAATGTCTAATTATAATAATGATTTTTATGTAATAGTACTTATTCAAAATTGTTTATGATATACTTGTTTAATTTTTTATGCTATATCTTAATTACAATAGTTGAATGCTAAGCATTGCAACGCGGGGCGGGCATGTTCGCGCCTGCGCATCTGTAATGTAATCCACGCATGCGCATCCGTAATGTGATGATCGGACGAGTTTGAGAATTGCCATCGACGGTGTAAGAGGGCTGGTCACAGCTATGAGTTAATGAGTGATTGTAATTAATTATGAGAATTAATAAAGAATCGAACCAGCGAATTTATTTAGTGTGTGTTATTTGGGACGAGACCCAAACAGTAATCCTGCAAGATAATGAGATGCAAAAGAAATGAAAGATTTTGTCATTTTTGGATGTTATTTAAGTGTCCGATGATTTTTGTGAGAATATATTTCGTCAATAAACAAATGATACTGATTTTTGAATTTAATTTTCATCTTTCCGAAAATGTATTTAATATAAAAAATGTTGGAATTTGAATATAATCAAAATAAAAGCCTTTCTTTTTATTTTAATTTATTTTAGCTTTCAAGTTCATTAAAAGAATACAAAAATTGAAATTGTTCGATCTTTATGTCAGCCACTGTAAATAATTCTACCTTGAGCTTTTGCGCTATTTTAGATGGGGAAAAAGATTCGGTTTGAGAACCAAATCTTTTTTTCCTAAACTAATAATTGAACTAATACTTATTTTGTAACTGTATTTTTGTATCTGTATATTTAATTTGTATTTTTATTAGAATTTTATTGTGAATGTGCAAAATTACCATAGCAAATTGCAACAACAAATGTCAAAACGGTAAAACGAATGCAATCTGCTCTTGTATGGCCATGTAAATGATCTTGTTAACATCCTAAAAAGCTCCCGAGGCGGCCTCTTGAGGCCCCAGGGAGTTGTTCCTGGTTAGTGGAGGGCGCGGGACACATGCCTGTTTACCTCTGTTAGACATCAGGCGTCCCCGTCCTCCGTTACCAACCAACCAACTAATACTTGAAAGGATTGGCTGCTTGGGTGTTCTGTGGTGGAACATGGGCCAGTTTTCTTAGAAACCCTCTGTTAGGACAGTCCCTTCATTAGACAAAGAGCCTTCATATATTTTGCCATATACGATTAAACAGAAATTAATAACTTATATATGAATTCATTTGTTGATTCCTATTTCACTCAGTTTGTCTCATATCTGAAAAGTAATATTATTTTAAATTCCTTTTCCATAAACTAAATTTTAAAATTTCCTTTCGGATTATTTTATTTTTATTTAAATGGTATAAAAGAACTTACGTAACTAGAAAATTTAGTATTTTAAAATTCTTATTTTTATTGTAATTACACTTTTTAAATGTAAGTGTATTTTACTTATAATACACTTTTTACTTATATCATTACACTCGCACAGTATATTTTACTTATATAATTAAACTTTAAGTATTTATATTATAATAACACTTTTTGAATGCAAGGAATTTTATTAGCCCTGACCATGAGCCTCCATCATGTAATCGAAAAGAACGTCCAGTTTAATGTATGCTGAGTCCAGAGTGTGAATCCTGGCGAAAGCCATAGATTAATTTTTCATATTTCCTATTCCGAAATAAACCCAAGGATTGTGCAATCATGAAAATGTAATTGATTTTCTCCTTCCTTAACGCGTGCTTTTGTTGCTAAACACTTCCGGTTGGCAGCCGGGAAATTTGGAGTGTATGTCCCGGCGAGGGCATAGCTTGCTTTTTCATGTTACCTGACTCAAAAATATTCTAAATAGGTGTCTCTACAACAAAACTAATATTCCCGGATTAAACCGCAAAGACTCAAAGACGAAGATTAACAACACTTGTATTTTAAATGCATAAATATTTAGTGGCTATTTATATAAAGTGTGCTAGATATAAAAAACTTGAATTTGAAGAACTCAAAATATATTTCTAAAAAACTTGAAGATCTAGTTTCAGCAATCCCCTCAATTATAGTACTAGTAGTTTTCTATCAGAATGGAAAATGCTCACATGGAATTCACATAGACAGGCACAGACAAAAAAGGGGGGTGTGTGTCTGAAATGGTTTTAACGATTGCCCAGAAGGACTCTTTCAAAGTTTAATGTGCTTTATCGGCATAGATTATCGACAGAGATCGCCCACGTGAAATAAGAAAACATTTATAGGTTATTAGACAAATATGCATTTAGACTATCATAGGAAGGTTATATATCTTCTCTATATTTAAAAAGTGGAGATATATATAATATAATTCTATGAAAAAATTTAATGTTTTTAGTTAAATGTATCATGAATTAGATAAATGCATTTTTACTTAAATCGGGAAGATTAAACCTGTAAAAAATAATATTTTTAAGAACTGCATCTAGTGCTCTTAAGTAGTTTAGTTTGTTAATTAATAATAGATTAAATATGAAAGAATAATATATTACTTTTTTTCGAATGGCAGCAGACACGAATAAAAAGTGAAACAACACTTGGGCTAAAGATTTTGCGGTTTGTCGCATTTTGGTATTCATTCCTTTAAAAAACATATTTTGTAACAGGCAAATTTTGATGACTAATTGACATCAATGAATGTGAATATTTCTATATGGAGATTTCACAGATCATCAATTCGTGTTCAACTAGTTACTTATTTCATTAAAAAGTATGAAAGGTCTTATAAAAATAAAAAAAAAATAATAATAAAAGTCTGATAAAAAAAGAAATGAATCGACTACTTGCTTACTCGCTCCTTAAATCTTACTTTTCTCCAATGTTTTGGTTAAGCCGGTTTCAGTTATGTGAAATTTGGATAACGAAAATTTTAATTGCATGCCAGTTTGACAATATAATGAAAGTATAAGTACGGTATTTTAAAGTAGAACTAAGTAAATGTGTTTCCTTTAAAAAAAAAAAAAAAAAAAAAAAAAAAAAAAAAAAAAAAAAAAAAAAAAAACCTGATGTGTTCACCGCATGACTTCCTTGTACGGAATACTAAATATTAAACGCATATTTTCCTACATTTCACTTAAACTTATTTCCTCGAATTTCATTAGAGATGATATATTTTTCATTCAATTAATTTTCTCACCTCGCGACAAGGCAATAATATATGAAACCTCAAAATATCTTTATTAAACGTTGAAAGATATAGTAAAAATATAAAACATAAATACAGTTAGAACAATTTTTACAATTAAAATTACAGTTTCTACGCAAAAACAAGCAATTCGGCTAGC